GTAACAGGTGACCCTAACTACTCCCACAGCGGCACAGCAGCATTGATGATTAAGCACAGCTGTAAACCCATTCCTTCCCTCTCTGCACGTGACCCCACTCTCCGTTCCATACCAAACACACAAACACCATTCTTTTCCACTTCAGTCTCTCTCCTGCAGTCTCCACTGTTTCCTTCACCTCCAACTCCAATAATGGCTCCTTCTTCTTCACCAGAATCCCTCCTCAAGCTTCTAATCCTCCTCTTCCTCACCTACATTACCGTTCTGGCTCCGAAAATCGAAGCTCAGGTTGAAGATTCAAGCTTGACGCTAATGGCGGATGCCCTTGACTGGCAGCTCCCAATGTATCTGTACGGTGACTTCAATGTCGGTGAGGATGGAGATAATGATGTGGGTTCCGACGGGGAAGATGAATTTGGTCGGAGATCTTTGTTTTGGAAGAGAATGCATTACTACATTTCGTATGGGGCTCTGGCTGCTAACAGAATCCCCTGCCGACCTCGCTCGGGAAGGTCCTACTACACCCCCAACTGTTTCAGGGCTCACGGTCCTGTCAATCCTTACACCAGAGGATGTTCTCAGATCACTCGCTGCAGGAGATGAGGTTATGTATGTCAAGTTAATTTAGTATATATATATATATGCGTGTTCAATTGTTGATGGATATCTATGGGTTTGATTAATTGTGTTTAGGCTGTGTGGACCGTGGAATAGATTCTAATGGGCTTTGGCCTGTATTGGGGAATTAAGTTTTTATTTTTTCTCTTTTCTTTTCTTTTCTATCCACTTTGGGACATAATTTTGATGGTGTGTTGGTAATGTTTTTATGCTATAGAAATATGTTGTATTTGTGTGATTCTAAGTATGTTGTTTTTTCTTTTAATTTGTTTCACTATGCTTTTTGCTTTATTTTGATGAACCTATATTATAATTAGTTTTTTTTTTTTCTTTGGGGAGGGGGTGGGGTTTAAAACTTTAAATACTTATATTATAGTGGTTGAGTTATTGGTGGTTGGCTAATTGGGTATCAAGAATGTTTTTGGTGGTTTTGGCTTAATTATTCATGATTTAAGTTTTTGGTGTTTGACAAAATTTAAAGTGCTTGACTTTTTCAGGGGCTTGAATCCTAACATTGACATTGGAATCAAGGATTTAGAATTACTCCATACCAACTAGGCCCCATAATTAAGGATTTAGATTAATGAATAACAATTAGGTGACGATATAGTTTGGTACTCAAAAGTCAAAACTTCCTGTTGGTGATCTTTTACTTTTTCTGTTCTACAAATGCTAGTTGTATGTGGTATGCATCATATATTTAGGCAATTTCGATTTGACTTTGCTTTTGTTAGTTGTTAATTTGGTTTTGATGAGAATTCCATGGATGATTTCATTTCAGGTATGGTGAATGAGTATGGATTTTGTGTTTTTTTATTGGCAGTTCTTGTAAAGATATATGCTTTAATTGTGATCATATAATATAATTGGAAAGTTGGGTGGCCTAGTGTATATTTTGCTTGTGGTGTAGGCTTAGCCTGTTGGTATCACCAACCTCCTCTACATTGTCAATGCCTAATTAGAGTTTTAAAGAACAAAAGCGCATCCTTTTAGCTTAACAACTAATTGTGATTGTGAAAGATAAATTTCTTTCCATGCTAACTTCTTTAATTGAGAAATTGATGGTAGTTAGCCATTACCTAATACTCCCTACTAGCCATTGATAAATATCCTAGTTCCCTTCCTAGTTGCAACCTCCAACAACTAGCTTTACTTAACTGTAGTTCCAGAAATTATTAATAAACAGCTTTAGGCCGGCCTTGGCTTGGATGCAGATGAGCAAGTGATGGGTAGGGGTGGTTTAGTTTTTTGAAATCTTATCTTCCCAAGGACAAAATAAAAAAAGCAAGTTGATGGTATTTATTTGCCTAGTGTTTGATCCTGCAGGCCACATGATGTACTCACATTAGTTACGATTGTAATGGAAAAAAACATCACCATTTGGTTCTTGTTGTGATTCTAAATATTGCAATTAAAAAAAAAATATTGTATAGTTTAAATTACACAACTTAAACTTAAACTTAAACTATTGAATGAGGGGATATTGAGGGTTTGATCCAAAGTAATCAATATCGTACTGGTATACGTATCAATTTTACTCCTGAAATAGTACATATCGGATATTGAAAATTTTCAAATACCGTTTTGGATTTATCAGTATAAATATATATTTTTACAAATTAAATATTAAAATAATATGTCAAAAGACAATGCTTCTCACCCCAAGTACTAAAAACATTACGAGGAGAGTCTTTGGAAATGACAATATCAACCCTCCAAAGTCTCTCCTCTCAAATCCACGGTCTTCCCTCTCTATCTCCCCATATATTCACCAGATCCTCTGCCACAGCTACCACCACCAGCAAAACCCAAAGCTGCAATAATTCTGAAATTGCAGAAATTGAAATATGAAATTAGAGCCCCTAGCTCGTAAATCACCCTCCGAGATCCAAGATCTAGCTTGCGCGGTTTGTGAAACAAGAGAAGGAGCAGCAGTTGTAGGTTTGCATCGCAGGCGAGGAGCGTCCAGGACTCGAGGATCAGAGTAGCAAGGCTTGCAATCTGAAATTGCAATTGCAGAATTAAGATTAAGAAACCCCTAACCCAAAACCATGGCGTTTTGGGCTAGGAATCCTTTTAAAAAAAAAAAATTTTGTCATAGTGTGTACCAACCGAAATTTCGATATACCGGTTGGTACATTGAAATTTCGACCGATACACTAGATTTTAACCAGATCACTCGAATTTTGATCAAAACAAATTTTAATATTATATCATTTCGGTCAATACAAAAGATTAGTATGTACCAACCGTACTGACTGATACAGTATGAAATTATTAACCTTGGTTCAATCCCATTCAGTGAATCTCTTGCAGTTTATGACAACTTTAAGCATTTAGGTTGAACGATTTCTAATAATCCCCATGATTTATAGCTTTCCGTAATCAAAAGTTCCTGTAGTCAGCACTTTGGTTGTGTCTCAAGTGTCATGTCAAACATTAGTTGGGTATCACTTCAATGATCGCAATTTAATTTAATGATCTTTGAATAACTTTCCATTGTCAATATGGCCGGTCAAGTTGATGCATTCTCTCAATTGGTTTATGGTTCATTGTATCAAATTCACAACTTTTCTTGTACTTAAATTCCTGATGATCTCTGCCTTTCGTATGAAAATGGGAATTTGGCTATTTATCTAACTGCTTAATGACAACGTCTTGAATTATGCTTCCTGCTTGCTTGGAAGACTTTAATAACTCAGGGTACGAGTTGTAACACTTGAATGGCTACTATGTGAGTAGCTTACAAGTTGCAATTTACACAGGAAAGTAAAGCAAGTAAGCTCAATAGAATAAGAAAAAGATATTAATATTGGCCCTTCTTTCGAACTTGTCAAATTAACTTCTGTATACACCTTGAAAAATGCCGGCTACAAAGGTAGGCGAGAATCTGACTGATTATAAATCAAATTAATGCCACTTAGCGAAAGAATGGACTGACGTATTCATTGACCCAAGTTATCTTATTCTAATTTCTAAATTCCTCTTTTAGAATGCCAATCACTTGGGCATGCGGTTTGGTGGTGTGTAATCTCACTCATAAATGATAATTGATTAAAAGATTATACCCCCCCCCCTTCCCTTTTTTTTTTTAATCTTATAATTCCTTATACAATAAGAAAATGTCTTTCTTTGTTAATATCTTATTTTATAATTTAAATTAATTATAAAATAAATTATAATATTCTAGGCAAATCTTATGTTGATAAAATAAAAAAAAAATGTTAAATATATAAGTCAATACTTTCAATTTTTATTGATACAGTTTAAAATTATAAAACTTAATAAGTTAAAATAAACAATATCAATAACAAGCAAACCTTTATATAAAGAGAGGGTCTTCAACATCAAAAAGTTCATCTCTCATCTAAGAGGCATCTCAATATAATTCAGTTTCTCAAATCCCTTTCAACTTCTTCCAACATTTGAAATTGAAACCATATGAAAGGAATCTTTCAATACATATGGGTATTTCAAACTGAAAAAAATAGAACATCAAGTTCATGGCTGGAGATCTTCACTATGGATTCATTACCTTTTGTGATTATGTTTTGTGGTGAAGATGAAGTGAGAGAATTTGCACTTTAGCTAGTGTGATATTGTAAATTGTCTTTGTGCACATTGTCATTGGGGGAAAGACAAAAGCCTAACCACCAAACGGCTGCAATAATTAAGTCAAGTTGTTAACTTGGTACCCCCACCAGGCCACCAACATTAAAAATTCTCAAAAGGGTGGAAGAAACCACATGATTCGTGGATCGGATCCGCCATAGCTGGTCCGCATCCCGAACCAACATGACATTTTGGGCCCCCGGAGTCGAACCAAAACCCACCCCTGATTATGCTGCCGCCAAAAGCAAACAAGTTGCACACTCCCAAAAATAACCGGAGGCCCGAACTCAACGGGTCAAATCAACCGTGGCTGCTGTCGCCGTGAACCTTTGGACGCTATCATCAGCTCAAAACCGGTCGCCGTGGACCCACAACCGAGAGGCAGTGTATTTTTTTATTTAATAAAACGTATAATTAATTTATTGACAGGTGCTAGACGGGGCGAGTGGCGCCACCTCCCTTGGTGGTGCGTCCAACGGTGCGTTGATTGTGGCTATTAGTAGTTCATTATGAACCGTCGAGGGTTCTTTGCATCTTCATGCACCTGGACTAATCACACCGATAAAGTCCCTACCTTTTGTCTTGTTTCTCGTGGAAAAAATTGACATTTTGACTGCAAGCTAGGATTTTTTTTTTTTTTTTTTGGGTTCTATATTTTTAAATTCGTTTATGATGGCCATCAAACTTTAGGATCTTTTTTTTAGTGCATTTAGAAATTGAACACGCAAGTTGCATATAAATTAAATTCCGTAATTAGGATTGTGAGTGTTTGTTTTGTTTAAAACTCATAAGCAAACATGACCTACGTGATTAATTTAAAAAATAATTATTTATAATATTACATATATTTATTTAATAATACATTAAGTTATAAATAAAATTGTGCAATTAAGTTTCTATACGTAACATCTCCATAAATTTTAATGATAATATTTTTAAAATCAACAATTTAAGATTTTTTTTATTTTTTTGAATATGTAGTGATTAAGTATTGAACTATATATTTGTGATTAAAAATATAAATAATTTTATTATTGGATTAAATAACTGAAGATTTAAGATATATATTACTAAATTTAAGTTCATCATTTCAACTGTTGCATTTAAAAATTAATAATTTTTGATAATTTAAATAAAATTTACATGTGGATATGATTTTGATTTTGATTTTTTAAAAATTAATTATAGTTTACGAAATTATAAAAATTCAAAAAATGGAAAGAAATTGGCATATAGACTTGACAACTTAACTTTCTCAGACCCTCATTAGAAGGTGAGAACAGAATCTTCTTTCAAATTATTCTTTTATGCCAAACAAAAGGGAAAATAAATTAATTATCCTCCTTCATGTAACTTGGACGCATCTAGTCAAATAACAATTCAAAGCACGCGACCTCAAGTTCAAGTGGAAAAGAAAAAGATTGCTTGCTTGCGATTGAGCCCACCTCATCCAGTAAGAGTAATACCCACCCAAAACCCAATCTGCCTCTCCAAGGCCTCAAACGCGCCTTCACATACAACAAAAGAGTTAGTATGGAATTGCAAATAGTAAGTTTTGAAAAGGACCCAGAAAAGATCCCATCTTTTTCATGCAATCTCCCGTCATGTATTTTTTTAATGCTCAATCACGCCAAGCCTCAAGATTTCTTGAAAGTTAATGCATTTAGCATTAGCTTCGACCCCACTGGCCACTGCGCCCACCCTCTTTTTCTGCCAAAGACAAACAAAAAATTTGGTTAGGACCTAAGCACGTGAGCCAGAGTTTGGTACTTGGAATTTAACCATACAAAACGTCCACAATAAAATAGTTAACTCCTCAAAGTTTTGTGACGGCCGCAATGAGAAAAGAGTGAAACATGACTGGAAGAGAGTGATGTTACTGCTTGCGCTTGCGTAGGGAAACGGGGTTGCATGTGATGGCTAAAGGGTCTTGGCTGCGGCAATTGAAGTTGGAGTAAACGCAATTTGCAAGTTGGAAACTTGGATGCAACATCAAATTCAGATGGATTGGGATCTTGGGATTTAGGATGATGTCAAAACCCACACCGGCCGCCTCCTCACGACATAAATGTTGTACAGTTCATTGTTTACTAGTTTGAGCCTTTGGGGTTCAAAGGAACATAAATTTGTGCAGTTGATTGTACAGTTCATTGTTCTGTGAGTTTTTTCTTCCTTTTTTTTTTTCTTCTTTTTTTTCTAATATTGAAATTGTTAGATATTATCAATAAATAACTATACAACGAGTTTTATAATAAAGTTTTTTTTAATTTTAATATTTAGGTGGCATTTTTTTGTGTAGTTCATATTACAAAAACATTTATGTTGTTTTATTTAATTCTTGAATTTTTCTTAAGAAACGGAAATTCGGGATTGTGTGAGATAAATACCAATATATATTTTTAAACCCTTTTCTGCAATCGTTAGATCTGAATCAAATTGGGTTAGGGAAAAATTTAACAAGTAAATCAATCATGAACTGGATTAATTAATAATTAAGACCAAGAGAATTATTAAGAAAGATACACAAAGTTTTGATTAACGTGGTATATTACTTGAAAACGTTTTTATGTGCAGAATAAACTTTAAAATATTAATTATAAAGTTAAGCCAAAAGACTAAATTATGTGCTAGTTGAGCAGTAACTTCTTTGCTGATAAAAAAAGATAAATTAAATTTTATATCCCCAATAAAAAATCTTAAACCCATCCAGATCTGGCTAATACCTTGAACCACGAAATCATTGACAAATGACAACATTGTAATGCAAGGTCTCTATCAATTTCTCATGTTGCATCTTTGGGCTTAGATCGGAAAGTAAATGACATAAGGGGAGATATGATTGTAGTTATCATTAAATTTATAAAAGTTATTAAAATTGTTAAATTTTTATCTTAATTTAATTATTAAAATAATTAATTTTTATTATTTAATTTATTGATATTAATTTATAAATAAATATTTTTAAATATTATAATTAATTGTTTAAAATGATATAAATTAATGAAATTACAATTAAAATTAATGGTTTAACAAAATTTCTAGTGACGATGACTTCAACTCATAACAGATTAGAGAATTCTTTGTATTTCATCTACATAATACTCTCAAAGTTGGTTTGTGTAAGGCTTTGCCCATGCTTTGTGTGAGCTTGTATATGCAAAGCAAAATATTCAATCTCATTTTCCAGCTTGAATTCATAATATTTGTTCTCTCTTCACATGCTATTGTACATGACAATGAGAGATTTTGAGAATCGTGGGCACTGCTAGCTGCACATGAGACACGCTTTCAGAGATTTTGTATCCAGACTAACAACCACATCATCATACTTTTCCGGAGTTACTGTTATGACACATTTCACATGCAATTCTATAATCAGAAAAAACATACAATTAATTCCGTTTCTTTCTGTTGAAGTCACTGAACAAAAAATGTGAAAGTAGTGATTTCTAGTAAAAGAGAAGGAAAGAACAAACCTTAACAACCTCCACATTAAATGGGTTAATTTCCCCTTTTCCCCCCAACAATTGCACGTTTTTTGTTTTATTAACGTTTGCTATATATGAACCATGATGTTGATGTGTTAGTGAATGGAACATGCATGCTTATGTGTCAAACCACCTTAATCCATTGTATCGAATTAGGAACTTCAATATTGATTTTGGAATGAAAAAGATGAAGAAAGCATGAAAAGGGAATTTATGTTCAAGCTTAGTGGATTCAGTGCAATTAGTTTCAAATATGGTTCCATTCAAATTTTCTCTAAATTTAAGAAGAACCCCGTTTTAGTCTAGATTGACTGAAAAAATATAGTTTGTCCAAGTATGAAACATCACATTTACCATTAATAAATAGCGAGATAAAGAAATTTCATGCTTCAATTGACTAACAGTTATTTAAAACGGAAAAGGATTTCTAAAAAATTTATAGTTTTTTATAATTTGAAAGTTTTGATCTTTCATGGTCAATTATTTATTAATTTATTTTTATTTAGGATGAAAAGTGTTAATATATAGGTTTTTTTTTTTGATAAAATGAAGAGCGTTAATGTTAATATTAATATCAAAGATTGGTACTAAATAAAAAATAGCAACTTAATTATTTTAACATAAAATTTGAATTCAAAGACCTAATTAAATAAAAAAACAGTGATATAATTATTAAGAAAAAGTATTTTACAAATTGTCTTTTAAAATTTTTTTAGATTAAATTTTTTTAAAAGATATGT